GCCCTTCAAAAATCCAGAGCTATGTTCATTTATTCTCTTGGTAAGTAGACATTATGAGGACTGTATTTGATGATCCATTTGGTGACTGTAGCACATCCAGCATCAATGTATTTACCGTTGTTCTTAGATTGAGCCGGGTTCAGCCTGTAGTCAGGTAACGCAAACATACACAGATGCCATTCACAGTCTGGTAAATCAACGCTGCTTAGAACGATGGAGCATCTTTTCTTTAGATAACCAGGGAAGCTATTCCAATAGCCCCCCCCTCCGAGGAGTGCGTTTGTTTTGTGTTCTGCCACGCACGCACAACCAGCTGTGCATGCAATACTCTGCAAATGCATGCGTGCGCTGTTGTCTGCACCTGCACCGCTGGCACAACCCTAGGGAGCAGAATATTTTCAAACCCCATCCCACAGTTTTTATTATTTTTTTAAAGGTGAGCGTTCATTGCAGTTTGTTTTAAAATGCTGAGTGGGTGACCTGCAGATTGAAGGGCTTGGTTCTGGGAGAAAAGAGAGAGAGGGAGAGGACACCTCGGTGTGCGTTTGGCCTTGACATTCCCTTTGACTCGGAAAGCAGGAATGGAGAGCGAGAGACAGAGAGAGAGAGAGAGAGAGAGAAAAAGAAAGAGAAAGAGGGGCTGTTTTAAAGACGGCTCTCTTACAACAGGAAGTATCTGAACAGTGACTCACACACAAGCAGAGAGCAGGGAGGTTCTGTTGATTGTGGTGCTATAAACCCCCAATGTGCTGTGTGTTTGTTATTACATTTATGGGTGTGAAGATATTTTCTCTCCCCATTCATGTAATAACAAATGTCAGCAGTGAGGGTGCGTGGAGCTGGGGGTGACCATGTGATGCATGGAATGACACATTTTTTGTATCCGTATCGCATGTTAAACACATTTTTGTGTGTGCGTGTGCAAGGAAGTCCACATGCATGTGCTCGGGCGTGGGTGTTCGCGTGAGCGATTAGATCAAATTTCAAGAATCCAGGTTTGCGTTTCAGCAGATATGGGCGGGTATACGTGTGCTGAAGGGGCAGTCAGTGTATTTACATTATGTATTTCTCACGTGCTGATGTGTGACGCTAGTAGAGCAGATAATATGTCATTATGGACATTATGGCTTATTTATTTATTTGTGCATGACCTTACATTTGAGGAATCAGCGATGCACTTACAATGCATTTATATATAGAAGGGCTCTTTGGTGATAAGATGTTTGTGTGTCTTAACTCACTGGTTCGTCACCAGTCAGCAGCATGGCTGCCTCTCACTAGAAGCATGCTGAGCAAACAAGCCTGACCTCTGCACAACACCAACGACAACTCAGCAGAGTGACAGTTATTACACATGACTTGAGCATACAATGAGCAGGAGTATGTTTTAACAGCGGTCGTCTCACGCTCATAATGCCATGGGGAGGTGGGGGGGGGAGGGGGGTTACATTTTGGGGGTGATATTGATGATGCATAATTCAATTAAGAATCACAGTCGTCTAAATATTTCTACACCATTGGGTTCTTACATTTTATTTGCCTGCTTTTCTAGATGTTCCAGTTCTGCAAGGGATCATTTTTTTTTGCCAGGCATTCAGTCAGTTTGTCTAATGAATCAGCTCATTTCATTTATTCAGGCTTAATCTCTATAAGTGGAGCAAAGGTGAATTAATATCTAGTTGAAACTAGCAGATTGCGTGTGTGTCAACGGCTTTTGGGTTACAGTTATCATGTCATTGACTTTGGAGCATGGGCTGAACTTTGCTGTTACTCTGCTATGTCGTTCGTCATTGTCTTTTGAGTGCATGGAACAGGATTGAGAACCTGCTTGACTGAAAATAAAGTAGGTAGGTAACAGATGGAACTCTGCCAGTACAATTAGAATAGTAATTGTGTTGACGCAGTTGCATTTCTTTCAATAAATCATTTTCCACATGAAACAAGAATCAGGGTCCTTTTTATATATAGGCCTAGTCTTTGGGTGTATCATCTTTGTTGAAAGAACAAAGGGAGTGTTTTCCTGCTTTAACCGACCAAGCAATTCACTTAAAGCTTTATTTCAGTGACACTTTCCTGGAAGTCATAGTCATAATAGATTCTATTCTCTACACTTCTGTGAAAAACGGCTGTGTGAGCGCTACAAGGGGGTTGATGAGGAAGGATGACTCTCCAGATATTAACATAAAACTACAAAGACATCTATGAATCGATCCCTTTTATTTGCATTGGCATCATCCAAAGCTGTGAAACTAGTGTGAAAAAGTCATCCCGGTCGACATTCCCCCACCTCTTCGCACACTTTTTTTTGGAGTCCCCAACAGCATCAACAACTTTTCGCTGATGAGACAATAGCAGATAGTTCCATTTAATGCGGGAGAAACCATTCATCCACGGGAGAGGGGCGTCGGGAATGTAACCAAACACGCACCGAAGCACCACATCTGTATTTGCACAACGCGCATTGCCATGATTAAAAATCGCACGTGATAGAGATCGTGACCAATTTACACACGAAAAAAAGACCCCCGACGCGCACAATGTCTCGGTGACAAATCGACGCCCACCCCCCCGCGGGGACGGAATGGACTCGACCTACTCAATCATGCACTTCAGCATACACTGCAAAGAGCACGCTTTCACCTTTAGGATTGTCTGTGCTTCTTGAAGTCACCCTGGATTACTCTTTCGGATACAGCAGGTACGCACATCTCTCATTGTGTCCTTTTTACCCGCGCGCTCCCCGCGGCGGAGCGTGTCGCGTGCTCTGAATGGGAAGTAGGTGCAAGGCGATTGTCGGATCTTGATTTATAAATAGGTTGAAAGCAGGCAACGGGTGAGGTTAGGCTTGATAAAAGAGACACAGAAAGAAAGAAAACGTCTGTCGGTGATCATCTCAAGTCACCAGAGCCAGAAAGTGTTGAAAATGTATATTCCTATGTGTTACTTTTCGTAGAGGCTACGCGGTTGGATGGTTGTAATAATACTTGCAACAGACGTGAGTCGGCATAGTTAATGTCAAGATGTCAAAAGCTGCCGAAAGTCAGTTGTTCACAATGAATAAATGAGGGTTGTCGCGCAGAATGGCCGGTGTGGCTCGTGTCCTCCGCCAACATCTCTGGGCTTCAGCAAACTTTCCACCAGCTTCCCGCACACACTCATCTCTTCCTTGACTCATTTCTTTTTTTTTGGACAACACACACACACACACACACACACACAATCACCGCAGCATCGGGACGACACATTATGTGTGGCAACAAAAACAAAAAAAAGTGCGAGCAGAATTACGGAAGAAAAACAACAACAACAACAACAAGCCAGACAGCTCGCAGCGCGCATCCAGAAGATGGATGGACGGTGTCTCTTCTCTTCTTTTTTAGAGAGTTTTATTCACTCAGTGTGACTGACACACAGGGTGGAGGTGGACGTATAGGGGAGGGGGGGGGGGGCTATATATCCATATTAGGAAGTGGTGTCCTACATAGGCTAATATGCATTGCTCTCAGCCAGAGCTGCCGCTGAGCAAGGCACAGGTGCCCGGATCCGAAACCGCTGGAAGATCTCTGGTGTGTCGCATGGCTCCTTTTTTTTTTTTTTTTTAATCGCCAATTCGAGCTCTCGCAACTCATCTGCATGCGGGGTGCGCGCCCGCGTGCGTGATTGTGTGCGTGTGTGTGTGTGTTGGGGTGGGCGGAAACAAGAGAAAGAAGGGTGGGGGCAGGTTTTTAGCGTTTGTGATAGCGGGAGGGTTTGGGGTGTTGCATGTACCCCCCCCCCCCCCCCCCCCCCCCCTCACACACACCATGTGATGGTGCACCTAAAGGATGTGGGCCTGCCGTTAGGGTAAAGGGACACAATGGGATTAAACTGTGGCTCCCGGGGTGGGTGGTGATGGGGGGGGGTCTCAGTGTAAAACATACCCAACTAATGGCGCTTTCTCTCTAACTCCGTGGTGGACCTGTACGTGCCCTGGGCCCCCCCCCCCCCCCCCCCCCCCCCCCAACGTGTACGGTTTGCGCACGAATAAGCGATTGCGCATGTATGCTGGTGGAACTGCTAATGCGCTGGGGACAATTGTTCAGCGTCACCATTCTCTATACTCTTGTGTCGGGACACACACACACACACACACACACACACACACACACACACACACACACTGATAGGAAGCGCCGGGGGCGCACGTGAAACAAAGGCGCAGAGTTGTGTGACCTCTGCGTGAGGACCGGGCGGACAGAGACAGGCGCTGCAACGCGGGGACAAACTTTTCTTTCTGCTTCTCCTGTTTTGTGTCTAGCGCTGGTTCTGGTCCTCTGGGTTTCACACACACACACACGCGCACACACAGACAGACACACACACACACACACACACACACACACAGACAGGGCTCATTTCCACCCGCGTGGCGTTCACGTGCTCCCGGAAGCGCCACATTTCCATTAGTGAAAGCATGCGGTTTGATCAGAATTACTCTCGTTCTGTGAGATAGGGCAGGTATTGCGCTCCTTTATAGACCAGTGCATTATGGGAAATGGAGTGCGCATGTAAAGTCAGGTTTCGCCCCGTATATCAAACTGATGTCTCTCACTAAAGTTGATTATAAAATACACTGTTGATTCGTCGATTAGTCTCTTAAATGGCAGAAACGACAGTGTGCCGAAAAAAATTTTCACTTGCTGTTTCCTTTTCATCTGATCACCAAGTTTATTAACCACCCAATGTTCTGATGTTGACGACTGTGTAATCAGCATAGTGTTAATGCCCCCCGAATGGCACATTCATACCACGCGTGAGTATTTGGAAAACTGTGTGCATGCAAACCGGAGACTTAACCGATGAGCAAACTCACCGCAGAATCAGGCTTCTGCCAGTAGAGATCTCCGAGTCACAACGTTTCCTACAACACCTGAAGGCAACCAAACGACAAGCGAGAGAGACATAGAGAAACAGCGAGGGGGGAGAGAGAGAGAGGGGGGGGGGGGGACCTGTACTGCTCTCTGCAAACAGAGCTCAGATTCGCAGAGATAATAATAATTACACCCGGTCCTTGCAGAGTGAACCCCGGGTCGCTGTTGTCAGTTGCTGCTCTGGATGATCTCCTCTTATCTCTTCCGGATCTGGACTCTTTTTATTTTATTTGCTTTTTGTGTCTTTTTCGGAGAGCTTCACCCCCCCTCGTCCCTGCTTTTTTTGCGTTGTACGTGCTTGAGCACAGGCGGTGTTTTAACTGGTGGAAAAGTGGCTGCGTATGATAATCCTTGTTTTGATATGTTGCGGGTGCGTTCGTCGGGCAGAGTCTCTGTGGTCCTCCTCACCCGGTGCCCCCCCTCCCGGAGTGGACAGGAGACTGATTAAGAAGCGAAGTACATGTGCTGCAGCGGAGATAAGGCTCATTTTGAGGAATGTCTGACTGATAACAGAGTTGGAACCTTGAAAAAATAAAGGGTCACAGTGATCATAGGAGCCACTTGGGCAAGGGGGGGGGGGCATTAACATGCAGCATTGAGCGCTGAAAGGGATCTCATGATGATGTTATAGGCGTAATAACAATGTTATAAAGTAGCACAAGAGCGCTATAAACAGGAGGAGTCCAGGAGGGGCGATAGCGTCTGTCCCTCGGGTAATAACAGGAGCCCCAAACACATCCGTGCCCCAATAAAAGCTCTAACATATTAAATACATGACTGTCACAGTGACCCTTCCTGGTGTGTGTGTGTGTGTGTGTGTGTGTGAGGGGGGGCATCCTGGAGTGAGGAGATAAAAAGCACAGTTTGCATTGCAGCAAGATGACACGGTTTCGTTTAGAACTTCCTCTAAAGTTTTACAGGGATTATCTTTTCTGTCCCCTCATCGAGATATTGTCTTTCTGTAGTGTGCTGTGGGGTTTTCTCTCCAGTATTTTGTCAGAAAGAGATAGGGGGGGGGGGACGTGGTTTGGGAGACAGGATGACATTGTCTCCTCTATGTCAGATTTCAGACGTTGTATCAAACATTTCTCCTGCAGCCCGACAGCCCGACACCACGCTCAGCGATCTTCACTTCCTCAAATCGACTGTCGGATAATCGGCCTGGCGAGTGCCACCTGTCTCCCGGTGAAATCGCTTGAAGGTGGACACATTCCAGCTGAGGCACAACAGGTAAATGGAACGTGTTGTTGCATTTGGGGTGCGTGGGTGGGTGGGGGGGGGGGGGGGGGAAAACCCAACGCTGTCCTGTGTGAGAACACCTTGTGGAGCAAAAGAGGAAAGGGGGCTACCTCTCAAGGGGGGGCGTTGTGGAAAAAATTTTCGAATCATTCCCAAGTTAATCCCCGCGAAGTCCAGTGTGAAACTTTTTTCGCCGCCGCAAAAATGGAATTTTAAAAATGTGTGTGTTTTTTTTAAATAGTTTTTAGAGAGAGCTCATGGCATGACTCCGGTGAGGCTTTTCTGTATTTGCCCTCCCTCCACCCTCCTGTCTCCTTTCATACGTTGAATAAGTGCTGTATACATTCGGCTTTTGTCAATAGGGCTGTTTGTCCATCCTTATCGTGATCAAACTTTCAACTCTGTTTATCTCCTCCGGAGACCTTGCTTTTTCTTCTTCTTCTTTTTTGGCAAAGTTCACCCACCCCCCCCTGTCCTCCTTACCACCCCCACCCCCCCAACCCCCAACCCTCTGTATCTGTTGGAGTAAAAATTAGCAGTAGAATTTTTTTATCCTCCCTTTTTTTGTGTGTGTTTTATTGGTGTGGTGAGAAACAATGAGCACAAGGCAGAGCTTTGTGGTGGCACAAATGCATTTTTAACCCATGTGAATGAATGGCGCCTCACATTCCACAGCAGCAGGCCCTTCGCTGAATGGCAGCACTAGCTCGGCTGTTTTCATTACTCATTACTGCCTTTTGCCTTTTCACCAGGACGGGGAGCGGGGGGGGGGGGGGCACCTTAAATATGAGAAGTGAAATCAGTGGGCTGGATGGGTATGGACCAAACCTCTGGGGGTTTATTAGAGTTTTTTTGCTCATTGATAAGTTACCGAATCTGCTGAATTTGAGCTCACTCCGCAGTTACTATTTAACAATATCAAAATGAATCTATGAAATCATTATCACTGGCAAGAAACTACCAAGTCAAGAGTATTATTTAACTTAATGAACTGAACTGTGTTTGCATAAATGAAGCTAAATATTTAACATAATGAATTGAGAGTAATAACCAGATATTTCCCTCAGGACGACAAAGCTATGAGGAGCGTGAATATTGTGAGGGAGCACTGTGATGAGCAAGTTTGTAATATCAACTCCATTAATTGACGTTTCTGCTGCCCCTAAGTGGCCAAACGATCAATTGATTCAGGTTTTATCCCCCAGGTCGGCCAACTGGCCTTTGAACCGCCCTTAATTAACGCAGCATGTTTTTGAAACCTGGTTTGCATTTGCTCTTCATTTCAGGTGCATCTCCTGGTCAGTGTCTCAGAACTGTCCTCGGGAAAGGTCAGCGGCTTATTTGCGTCAATCCCATGTTGTTTTGTGCAACACATCCATGTGCTTAGCGTGGACCGAGGTCCCCGTGGGGGGTTTCCTGCACCTTGTGGAAAGTTCCAGAGGGAGCGAGTTGGTTTGTGAATACTTTTAATACATTTGTCTTAGATTGAATCCATTCAGTCCTTTCCAGAGACGAATTGCCGCCCTGCTTGTGCTTGACTACTTCAGCTCTGTCGAAACAGCTCGTGTTAATTTCTCGTGGCTTTGACCTAGAATAAATAAGAAAAGGGAGAAAAAAAAACGGAGAAAAGTCACAAGACAGACACTCAGATACTCTTATGCGTCCTGTTCTCTGGCTTTGTTCTCTCCACTCCTCCACTTTATTAGATCCCTTCTCCATGAAAGCAAACCTGTATCTTCCTTCACTGCCTTAAATAACGTTCCGTGGCATATTGAGGCTGGAATATGGAGAGAGGCAGCAAACAACGGCGTCTTGAAGCGGCTGTTTGTTTTGTCGAGGTAGATATGAAACAAGACAAAAAGATACCGCGAGGTCTGATGTCTGTTCTGCGGTGACGCCATTGATTCCCCTGCTGCATGTTGGGGGTTTCCACTCTGAAAGGGCAATCTCTCTCTGTGTTAGCCTAGAAACACCGAGCTCCTAAGTTAAATTATAAATGAGCCCTCCATGGGAAACATATTGCTCACTGCTTTGTGTAATCAGAAGGAATTTACATTTCCTCATGGCCGCCATCCCACACGCTTTCAGCATGTGGATACGTCCAATCGCAGTTACTCAAACCTGCTTGGTTGCCAATTTCTTTGAAATTCTGCTTACGGATGGGCAAATAATCCCTTTTTTTTTTTTTTTTGTCACGCTTCCACCTGCCCCCCTCCCTGCCCGAAAGGATCAATAGTGTGGCGGGCAAGCAGCCCCTTATCCAGGTAGGGAACTGTGAGGGCCCGAAAGCTGTCTAAATTAAACCCAAAGAAAATGATGTAGTAATCAGAGGATTACGATAAGGAGAGAGGGGTCAGCTGGTGTGGGTTGGGAGGGGGGGGGGATTAAGGCACAGGGCCCCTTTAGACCTCACCCAGCGTAGGGTTTCAACTGTTGCGCATAGTGATGATTTTCCTCAGAGCTGCAGAGCGTTGATGTTGAAATCTTCTGACTGCTTCGTTATAACAAACGTTGGGTCTCTTTCGCCAATAAGTGGCGAAGAGTATGATGCCATGGTGGGACGCCAGGACTCCCCCGGGCTGTCACCAAATCTCATAACGGCAATGATGCAAATTTTCCTGAAATACCAAGTAGACTAAACGCTTTTAAAGAAAGAAATGTAAATAGAATGTTATAGGGTGACTAATGAAATGGTGTCAATGTCTTCTTTTAACATAGACCCCGTGACAAGTGACACCAGTCAGGAGGCTAATTAGGTGCAGCCATTTGGCCACATTTGCACTCGTTGTTGCCGTCGTTAAACATCGACAGCTCGGAGCAGAACAACACCTCTTCATTAAATTGGCGTGAATAGAGACAAAGAGAAAAAACCTGTTTTTTAATTTACGATGATTGGCATGAAATAGTCCGCTGGAAATTTTTGGAAATGCCGAGATCACCGCCAGTCCCAAGCACCACGCCTGAATGTTTTAGTCATGAAAGATGATGATTACAGTCGCTGTAAATGGATCTGAGAGCTGTGGTCAGTGAACCAGTTTTAACAAACACTTCCTCCTCTGATTCAGCTGTTGAATAACTGTTGCAGAAATGAATAACTAACAAAACATGTCCATTTGTAGCCCAGTATGAAGTTATTCTAAATGATTAGATGATGTGCCATCAGTGTCCAACAATGCTTTCGTTACCGACATCACCGCAAGTTTCAATAATTATAATTTCATCACATGTGCAAATGCTGGAACCACCAATTGAATCCGAGGTGTCCCACACCGATGATCACAGTTGGATATCGACCACATTCATCAGTTGAACTGTGTTTGCATTAACAGCGTCCCGGCCCTGCAGCTTTATCGCCCCCCGTCACTGCAAATAGATCCCATCAGTTCAATCAATGTTTTCCTTGTTTTCCCTTTTTTTTTTTTTTTTCCTTTTCTTTTGAACAAAAAGTAGAATCTCACGCCAGCTTCAGATGGGAGCCTCTCCACTACATTACAAGCGGAGTTATCCATCACTGGCACTCGTGTCGATTTTCCATCTTTACACATTATTGATGATCCAATGAAATAACAATCACAAGCACACGCCGCTGAGCTGAATGTGCTGGATTCATTAGCAGTGCTTATCGGGTTCGGAGCTGACACGCTGATCATAGTTAATAGATTTTTTTGCCCGCGTCCACGGGCCGACGCTTGGCATCGTCGCTGTGATTGCCGCGGGATTAAAGAGGAGAAATAAGCTTAGCGGGGCAAAATAGCCCAGAGAACCACGTGGCTGTGATCAGGGATTGAGAGGGAGGGAGAGAGAGAGAGACAGGGAGGGAGAGAGAGGGGGGAGAGCTGCCGGGGGAAGGAACAGCACTCTTTGTCCGGCCCAGATGTCACCGTAGTAGACTACCATTATTGATCGACTGCTTTGCACACACACACACACACACACACACACACACACACACACACACACACACACACACTCGAATGCAATCACACTTTAATTAGCAGGCGTTTAATTTGGAATTTTAAAAAAACGACACAGTCAATACTACTACAGATACAGATACACCCTGTGATGGATTATTTAAGCTCGTTTGTGAGATATTGGACACGACACGTTGCATCTGGTGGTTCCCTGGTCATTTGAGAACACAGCTTTTTCTTTCCTCGCATTCTTTCCACCTCATCTATGTAATCTATTTATCCTTCTGTGAGACCGTAGCCTTCTTAATGGCCCTCTTCACATGGGATGGGCCACTCAGTGACACAAAAAAGCTATGTATGTGTGTTTTGTTGGTGCGACGGGAAGGGAGGGGACATGGCACCCAAACTTAATCCAAACTCACAGCAGCCCAGAGGGCATTAAGGGTGGGTGGGGGGTTGGGTGAACTGTTTCCCAAATAGAGAGGCTCCTTTTTAGCATTCAGCCCTCCAGTTCCAGTTATTAAACACACTCTAAATGGGAATGAAAAAGTCCACACAAAATGAAAGAGGTTCCAAAATGATTCCGAACGCAGGTTCTTTTTTTTTTTTCCTATGAAAAGGAAAAGATGCAAATCGAGTCGTGCTTTGTTTAAGCAGTTGGCGATGTTCAGGGAGTCTGCAGACAAAGCAAGGCGTGTCGCTTCGCTCTAAATTCAGGGACAGAATAATGCCACGTTTGATTGAAACATGATTTCTGGCAAGTAGGAAGCAGGAATAGAGCAGCATTGAGCATTGGGAACTTCAGTTGGAAACTAAACAAAGAAAAACCCGGCACACACACGCACACACACACATGCACAGTGCTGTCTAATCGCCCTCATGAAAGCACCGTTGTTACTTCATGAAACTACTTTAAAAACAACACACATTGCATTACTGTATCTATCTCAATTGCCCCACATCCCCGACATTGTCAGCATCATTAGTCTGCAGAAGTCGTAGTTTGGTTTTTTGGACCAAAGGGTGGAGAGTGGATGTAGTCAGTGCATGTTGAAGGCCAGTGATGTCGCATGTCTGACCAACTTAGGGAAACAAGCTGGAAAAGTCTCCAGGCTACTGCAGCTAATCATTGGGCCCACAGAGGAAGTGATCGTTAGGCGCTGATGTCAGCCTAACCTTGCCGCGATGCGCTTTAGTGCGTGTGTGTGTGTGTGTGTGTGTGTGTGTGTGTGCTATCTATAGGAGCACAGGGCAAGTGCGCATGAAAGTTTGGCCTTTTACCGTTCTTATGATTACAGAGAAAGAGAAAGTAATAGAAAGAGAAAGTATTAGTACAAATTTGTATGCCCGAAGAACAATGAATAAAAGCCAGTACTTTTTTAAACGAGCCGGAGTTCGGTACAAAGCTGTCACTGACGTGCCTGCATGCCACCATTGTTATGTGGGGGAAAAGAGGGAGGGCCGGCCCACTTGTATGGAAATACAGTTGGACTACTCGTTTGCTGCCAGCAACGGTTAGCTGTCTCAAAATAAGTACAGAGAGTAAATAATGGTAACAAGTGACTTTGTTTGTGCAACGCAAAAGAGATAACTTGAGCCAACTTGAAGCGCTAGCAAAAAAATCTAAATTCCATAAGTAAATATGTGATAGTAAATACTTTGCTCGTCTTACGGCCTTTGGTTTTATACTTAATATGCTACTTTGTAGAGAAGTGATCAAAACAGGCCTAAAGAAGCAGAGTGCAGGGAGGAACAGTTGAGCGCGGGTAGGGGTCAAGGAGGCTTAAGGGTCACCGAGGAGAGAGAGGAGGCGGAGGCAGGTCGCCCGGGGGCTAATGAGCTCACCCCAAATCCACGTATGGATCAGACACACCGTTCAACTCCACGCATGCAGGCTAGATGAGAGTAAGCTGGATGCAAGCAGGAGTTTACTGGGTTTCTGTGCATCTGTCATCTATTCATCTATAGTGCAAGGCCACGCTCCTTTTTATTCCTCTCACACTAATGCATTTAGCTGCTTTCTTCACAAAAAAAACGCCTGTTACCGACTAAAACAGCACAAGCACTCTCCTCTCAATCACTTAAGTGTAGTTATGACTGTTTTTAATATACATTACATTATACTCTTTCAAGCGAGGCGGTGGTTGTAGCCCGAGCTTTGTTAATGTTGGAAACAGATTGTTCAATTAATTTAGGCTTTTTAGCAGATGGATGGATGCATCAAAAACATTGAAGTTGAGGGTACCAGTGCCTGTATATTTCTTTCAAACGACAACTGAAAAAAAGCCTTTATTGCTTTAAGTCTACTTCTTAATCATAAAAAAGGGTTTTTGTGAAAAAGTGCACATTTCATTAGTTAATTAATCATTTTTGCATTATTTAAGCCATCCATCCATTGTTTGCTGTTTATCTGGGCCCAGGTCCATGTATTTTAGCTAATCATTGGGATTTGTCGTTTAGTGTTGCAGAAAGTGATATCATGATAGGTCATTCCAGGCCTTGTCGTTTCTTCTACCTGGTCGGGGATTCGTGCTCCCACGTTGTGCGTTTGTGTTTGCTGGTTGCATCCTTCCTCAGCTCCCAGCTGCCTCTCCATCCATCTATTGCTTGGGGCCTTCCAGTCAACTACACAGGGAAGAAGAGACCAAAGACAGGGAGCTTTTTAGTACCCCCCCCTTCCCCCATCACCAAAACACAACAGCCCAACCGCCTTATATCCAGCAGCACCACCACTTTTTCCATGGCTCTGATGTTTAGTAAAGAATCCCACAGCACACTCGCACCCACCCTTCAGCAACCCCCCCCCACCCCCCGGCATCAGAGCCCTGCTCCCACATTGTATCCAGATGTGAGGAGGGTAGTTGAGGGGAGGAAGGTAGGGGCCCCTGGTGGTGCCCGGCATCCCCACCTCCACCTCCAGACACCATCCTAGCTAAACACATCCCGAATTTTCCAGGTTTTGCTTTGAATGATTTTCACAATGTTTTTTTTATTTTTAAACATACATGTAGTTTTCAGCACCGTGACCCACCGTGTCGCCCTAATTCTATATTTTGCAGGTGAAAAAAAGACTGTTGCTGTTGAGGACAACTGACTGAGATGGTCTAATCCCTGGCCGTAGAACTCTATTTAAAGAGCGTAGCCGCTAATCCCATCAGATTATAGTTGACCAACTCCACAAAATCAGACAATTAATAGTCTTAACAATGGTGACAAAAGCCCGTCTTCTCCCATTTATGGAGTCTTAATTTAATACTGGCTCTCAAACAGGGAGGCGGCCGGCGTGCAGCCCAAACGTGGCGGTGCCTCCTCATGAAGTGAAAGAGCTGACAACGGGAACAACAAATCTGCATTTCTATGCCAGTCAACATTTGCACTATATCATATTGAGACCGTCTTAAATGCTTTGTGGTTATTTCGCTGGTTGCAGCATATATTCTGATACCACTTCATTTTGAATTCATATTGATTTTCAGAACTAGGTCTGAGTCTGGAGTCCCACAAGCAGCTGCAATGCTTAGGGTTACAAACCTGGACAGCAGGCTCCACAGGCACCATTGTCCCAGATAGATCTGAGGTACAGGTTTGTGTGATATACTTGTATGTACTAGAATGTTTTGAAGGCTTGTACCGCCAGCTCCCAAACTGAGGAGCAGAGAATGTTCCAAATTTCAGTGTTTCTAAAAACCTTTGTAATGTTTAAAAACCTTTTTGGGGAATTAAAAATAATCATTATGCAAATCCCCTGAAACAGCGTTTCCTACCACACAATCACATTTAAATGAATATAATAATGAATTATGCCAGATATCTCATTAGATCACTTCAGCACGGGTGGTATTGATTACATCTACAATAACTGTGTAATCAATCAATCTGCATTATGCCGACAATATCAGATACATAACTGTCAGTGTGATCGGGCAATTGTCATCTTGTTGTAACAATTAACACAAGCTGAGCTCAAGATTTCTGCCTGTATTTAGTTAAACTCATTCTGATCCCTTCATATTATAATCTCCACGTGAAGAACACGTTGGATGTAATTGACTACAGCCTTGGTTTCTCTGTTCTTTGTCAGCTAGACCCGCGCTACTATTTCATTTTCTTATCTTGGATTTATACAAATACATGCAAGTTAATCGCATGACTCTCACTCTCTCTTTGTGTGTGTGTGTGTGTGCTCAGGAGTGAGTCGTCTCCATTTTTAGTGACCCGTGGCGCGGAGCCTGCGCCCGGCACATCGTGTTGTGTAAAGCCGGTCCACTGGTGCGATGTGGAGACTGACAGTGTGCGTAATGCTCTGTCGCTTACTTTTACCGTTTAAAAAGCTGGATTGGTTGGCTGGTTGGTTGGCTGGTTGGCTGGTTGGCTGACTTAATGGCTGTTTTGCTGCCTGGCTGATGCAGGTAACTCCCGCTGGAAGCGCGTGATCTCTCCGGGGAAAGCTGCGCAAACACGGCGGCTTGATGCAACATTTGCTTTCTCCTGTATTACCCTCAGTTGCTCCACTGAATTAATAGTTCGACATTAACTGAAGTGCTGCAGAGTGGAGCCGATATCCTGTTGTGCTTTGCACAATTTTCAAAATGGAAAGACGGTCCCGCCACAGATATCAAGCCTTTGATCGTTGCATTACTGCTAATACGATACCCTATATTTCCTATGTGGGCCTGATTTATTGTTGCATAGTTACAATTCAGCACTACGACCTGTGTAGAGAGTGGATTACTGAAAGAGTCCACTCATTGTAGTGTCATAAATAAAATAAAATCTGTATTCAAATTCAGGCAAATATCTCCAGTCAGCTCGTATCTCTGTACTGACGAGCCTCACAGCTGCCAACCTGCATTGTGCTCGTGAGTTACTCCTCGACATCCGGGTCCATCCATGAGTGAGCATTAGTGATGTATTAGTGGCATCTGATAGTAACTAAAACAGAGCAACAATACATTACTATACTGTAGTAGTGTCTCCAAAAGGGTTTATCGGGAACTAAAAACCCCCCATTGGCGTTATGGAGCCCATTAGCAGACAGGTTGTCAGCCTGACATTCATGTCAATGTAGCAGCTGCATGCTTCCAGATGTCGATCTGGTAAATCCACTACTTTCTAAACACAGTAACTGGTGCAGACGGGGTTTTGCCGGTGAGTTTATTGCAAACAGGCGGGTTGAGGAATGCTGCCTGAGTACCGACAAGACGCTGTGATCTGCTTTTCTTAAGCCCACCTGCGTCAGAAGGGAGAGTGGAATAAGTGATTTCCTCCTTATTTTGCTACATCAACAATACACATGTATTACATTTTCTTGAAGTATGTCATTCATGTTGATGTGTTGTATGTTGGCGTTTCACACCACAGCCACGGTCATTTCTAGTAGCTGCTTTCATGAAGTTTTGATTTTCAGCAAAGCTTCTGAGAACAGCTATTTTCAGCCATTAAAGATATTTTTTTATTACTGCTACTTTTGCTTCATAGGGATTTCTTAGATTTTTTTAATGCTTTTAAATCAAGACATCTGTAAAAACAGAGGAAAAAGCCAGTAAAATATGCTTAAGAACTCACTGTTTCCCACACACCTTAACACAAACAGGCAGACCTGATGAACACACACATGCTGCGCACACTGTTTCCACAGCACAGTGTGGGTTGATTTGGGGGTTGAGGGGGTTATAAACCAGCAGATAGTCTCTGCTGAACTATTGGATGAATGTTGAGATAGTAGATCCCGGCCAATTTCCTGTGCTGTGGTTACGCTGCACAGAATATCTGTCATAACAAGCCGTGTACTCTGCTATTGAGTGATTCAATCACGCTCCCTTGGAAAAAGTGAGAAAACACCAGATGCAGCTTGTGACCAGAAATACACATTTGTTTTCTGTTCTCATCACACGGTGGTGATTAATATCCCCCCCCCTCCCTCCAAATGAAGTTCTTTATGATGGACATCTTCTCCAATGCTGTCTCTCTCCTACTGTCCGCCTCCCTCGATCTCCCAGTCAGCTCTTGTTATCCCCATCTATCTCCTGCAGGGACTTTACATCCCTATTTACCACTTATCTCCCCAGCGCTGCCCTCTCTCTCATTATTTCCTCTGCCTCTCCTCCTCTCCTTGACATGCTCTCTCGTCAGATGCTGCCTTGTTTCGCTCAGTATTACTTTAGAGCTTTGTTGTCTACCAGGCGGGTTAACAAGACGGCACAATTTCATCAATGTGAATCAGGCGGCCTGATAAGACGTGACCCAGATGGGATCCGCGGCTTCTTTTTGCACAGCCATCCATCACGGCGACGTAGCCGTATGAGCTCTCTATCACGGTAATGGCTGTCAGACTGCGCATGAAAGAAATGTGTCATGTAGCTTCGGCACGCTCCCTAGAAATACTCTGTGTCCCGTATGAAAGACTAACGACGTTTGTTATTCTCATCTAGCAGCCCCAGTTCCTGTGTGGTGCTTTCGTTCTTTTTTTTCATTATTATTATTTTTGGCACTGAAATCCTGGGCAGATTTTTCATGGTCGCAAACACACACACACACACACGCACACACACACACACACACACACACACACACACACACACACACGTCCACACACAAACAAAGCCACTACAAGCTAAATATTCCCTGAGAGACTTATGAATGGACAATAATGAGTTTGGGTGACCTTATTGAACTTTTTCAATGAGGTCACCTATTGAAATTTGATTTATTTCCAATTCCCTTGCTTTGGCAAGTCTGTCAATCTCCCATGGGCACTTAAAGTATGTCTGTAGGGCATAATAGTGGATTTAAAGGCACCACTATGACAGTGCATGACTGTCATCTTTTTAGGTCAGCTTTTATCTCTTTTAGTGGACGGGTTCATCTTGGTAATTTTTTTTTTTTAAATACCACTTTCATATCTAAAGATTAAATATGAAGGTATCCAACCTGCCCAGGAGCCTGTTAGCTTAGTTTACCATAAAGACCTAAATGGGAATGGTGTGAAGCTTAGCTCCATCCGAAGGTAACAAAATCCACTTAAAGCTCACTTAATTAACTAATTGTGTTCAGCTCAGTCTGACTGGACTCTGCCCGTTACCTTCCTCTAGTCTCCGTAGGTCAGGATGTCTGTCAAGGGAATTATTCTCACCTACAAGCATGTGCTGGTAATTGAAGTTCTTGTGATAGATGCATGCAGATGCATGCAAAGCCTTTCAATCATCTAATCATGATCATGAAGTTGCAGAAAGAAATAATGGCATTATTTATGGCAAATCCTAACAATTTTCCTGTGTTTCTACGAGAATCCAATAAGGATTCACAGACGGCTATAAATGCTTTTTATTTTCCGTGGTATCACACACATATCACACACATCTACACACTGAGAGGCTCTGCACAACAACGCGTATTCCAGGGGATTCAATTGGATTTTACCCACATGTTTGTTTGGAGTTGGGCTGAGCTTCTTCATAGTACATATGTCTTTTTTGTTGGTGTGTGTGTGTGTGTGTGTGTGTGTGTACTCAAGAGCAGTGTGTGAACCACCTTGCAACAACAACTGCTTGTTGGAGCCCACACATTCTCTCTGTTGTAGAGCCATCAGGAGATTTCTGTGGAAACCCTCCCATCCTGCCTGCTAGTGTGTGTGTGTGTGTGTGTGTGTGTGGATGTGTGTAGGTGTGTATGTTTGTGTGTGCCAGATCTGTTGCCCTGTTATGTTCTCGTATCTCAACTCTTGAGGGATGCGATCTTCACATTTTGCCTCACGGTGAAGACTCGTTTTTTAAAACAAAACCACAAAAACAAGTAACCATGTAAATGAGAAGTGAAAGAGAACACACGGGAAGAACACAGCCCCTCACACCTTTTCCCTTGAAATCATGCATAAATAGTCAGTTTAGGCATTAAGGAACCTGATTACAGATACCAGAATCCGTTCTCCACAACATTGACCTGACAGCCAACACGTTGAACACTATGCTGAACAGTATTTGAGATAGGTTTTGAATATGTTGTAGGACTGTCTAAAAATGTGGCTGAAATTGTGTGTGTGTGTGTGTGTTTAAACTCACGAACCAGATGAGCAGCAAAAGAAAGCGTTTGTGTCAGAAGGTGTGACGGTCAGAAAGGCCATTCTGGCCGGCTTTCAGGTCGGCTAATTACACTTCAGAGAGCGATTGGGCTTCAGTAGCGGAGGAAGAGGAGGGTATACCACAGGGAGAGGTTGGAGAAGAGTGGACTGTCGGGCACGCAGTGAAAAGAGATGGAGGACTTTCAATTTAGATTTCAATCGAATACCATTACCACGAGTGCCTCTTTCGCCGCCATCACGCCAACAGGTTGCAGCAGCGCTTGTACCGCCTCTGCTCCCGGCCTGTTTTTGGCCCCATCTTTCTCTGGCCGATGTCAATGTGAGGGAACTCATGGAGGGGAACCGTGTGCATGGATCTTCCGGTTTTGAAAAGTGAAGCCAGAGCGGAGGTGCTATGGCTGAGCGGGCGGCGCCGCTTGTAGTCAGCATGTATCTATGCTCTATGCTCAGTCTAGCATCGATCAAAGCTACTTGATTCATTTCGTCGGTAGAGGGCGTGA